ACTGCGTGACATGTGATAATCTGTCACGTAACGAGATCAACTAACAATACATTCTGCCTCACGAATAAAATCTAAACAAATATATTGCCGTCATGAACAGAAAAATACAACAAAGAAACAGACTTTACAAATGTCACAAATTTAAAACGTACAGTAAAAACTTTATGGAACGAAAATAACGATTTAATTTTCCCACGGGAAACAAATGTAACCAGTTAACGAAAGTAAACGAAAAGCAAAAGCGTAATAATCGTCGGTGATAGGAATAAAGATAACGGCTGCTTTAACTCCAGTAGAAACAAAAAATGTCTTGTTCTTTCCTTGACATTGTTGGTGGCGTTTGTGGTACAGAGGAACGCGCAAGGCATCCGTCCACTCAGACAGTATCGCTGCCATCGTGTAGCAAGGATATCAGAAGCCACAAGCGTTTTTTACAGTTTTCAGGTGTTGAGACAGAGATAGCACTTATCTTAGCAAGAAGCGGGATTTTCGTGAAGCCCGTCAATTTTTCGGAAATGACCGTTTGCCCGTTACATCGATCAAACCTTGGAATCGGATGGAGAAGAGCTAGTAGATTATGTTCTGTGCCTTGGGATGTCTCCGGTCACAAAAAGAAATCTGAAAAAGTACCCGCAGCAGAAAGGGGAATTACTTTGCAGCACTCAATACAAATTTTCGAACTTACGAAAAACCTCGTACCCGTCGGATCAGGTAAGCGATTACAATGTTTATTCTCACTTTATGCAAGGATATACATCCGTATAGCTTCTCATTTCACGCAGGGTACTTGGCGGGAATCACAGACTTCATATCCTAACTTCAAATCACTTCACTGCCGCGTAAAATAACGCCAAGTTTAACAGCAAAATTATTTTCATGTCTCACGAGTTTCCAGGATTTTTGCAAATATTTTTACGTCGGAATCTTTTTCAAACACTGACGTTTGCTCAGCATTTTCACCTCTTTCAAGACTTATTCAAAAGTAATTAATGGCGTGGGGAACACTCGAATTGAAATATTCACAGATATTAGAATTCCTTCCAACAATGCTCGGAAAAAAGGAAAGGAACGTAAAAGAATGACTTGTGACAAGGTAAAATATAGAATGCGTAATCAATTTGAGGTTTGTGGGGCTTTTGCCTGGGCTAGTTTTGTTCTTTTGCCACATTCAGAGCTATTGGTTCAAGGGGGATGTGTAAAGTAGAAAATAATTAATTAATTCTTTCTCTCTCGATGTCTACAGCCCCTGGCAAAAACAAAAAATCAGTTAGAATCGCAGGACTTAGGTGCCTCAGGAGGTGCGGAAGACATCACAGAAGGTCTACGTGGTCTAAGTTTGGTGAGTTTCCTCAAAGTGTTTATGAAAAATTTCTCTCCAATATAGTTACTGGAAGGGGAAAACCTTAACGCATTTTCTGAATTTTCCCTTCTCCGCCCTGTTCAGGGGTTCGACCCACGCGGGAGAAGGGCGTGTCCAGGATAACTTGCATGCGCATGCTCAAAACGCCACCATTGCCGCACGTCAACGACTGGGCAAAACCATACATGGCACAAGAATTGGAAAGGCGTGCCCTACCCGGATAGCCAGTCACATCCCAGAATACAGCCAAATAATAAAGGTTTTAAATTAATATATGGCTTCTCAACATTTTTTCTAAATGTTCCAAATGGAAAATAATACTGAGTAGTAACTGGATAAAGATACCAGGATAGGTTACCAGTGAATTATATCAACTATCGACAATTACTTTCCAGCTCGCATGCGACTTGCGCTTTTATACACGACACTCCGCCCGTGCATTCGGTTGATCTCATTTTGAAGCCATTCAAAGCAATGTGTTCACTTTTTCGTCAGGTTGATGAACAAGCGAGTGACTCTGATATTCCAGCCATTACTTGTCCTGTAACTGTTGGTGATGAATCATTGTCAGAAGGTTCAACATCCAGACGGCAGAGCCTTTTTGTTCGGCAAGAAGATTCTGAAGAGAGTGATGAAGGCTCTAGTCTAGATAACGAGTCCCAGGTGCAGCTAAATCGCTTCATACAGCTTCGAGACGTCAGTCCAGTACGTTACACGTTATCAGTGCCATGGAATACAGCGCACGAGCGTACTAAACGCAGATATCTACGGAGAGCTCAACAATGTATATCTGCATTGCTTGATGCCCTGGCGCCTGAGAATTCGCAAGAACTGTTGACGGAGCTTTGTGATCGTCATGCCGTGAGCAGAGAGAGTCTGGTAGTGGTCGAAGGCAGAAGAGAAAAAAAAAAAACGGAGCTTCTTAGTGCATTTGCTGAGAGCTACTTGAACGCGTAACATTGGAGCACAAGACGACAAATACTCCCTTTGATAACAGATAAGTTATCCCTTAAGGAGATGAGAGAGTTTATTCCAGCCGTTACTAGCTATCGCTACAACATTGCCCGACGCCACAGGATGTTACATGGATGAGCTGCTCCTCTTCCAGACCAGGAGAAAAAGAGAATGAGATGGAACCTGTAAAATTAGACCATTTTGTTTCTTTCTAACGAGTCTACACACAATTCAAGATGTTCCTTTTGGGGAAAAACTTCTGAAATTGTGAA